CTAAGTATGGATTTGCAGCCTACTTGCATTAACTCTGAAACTGCCTTGCTGCTCACACCCTCTCTCTACCAGAGTCTACAGTCCAAACATTGGGACAAATGACCTATATAATTTGACAGCCAAGGGTAATGAGAAATTGGCAATATTATTCCTCTTAAAAATTCATATTGCACCCTTATGTCTTTGGAGGATACCCTTGTTCCCTCTATCATTTCTGTGATCAGTCCATACCTTAGAGGATGTAAAATAAGATGTGACGTGATTATGGACAGCAAGCCCCACCACCAAGATGTCTGCTACTCACCTTCTTTCTGTGGCTCTATTAGTCCATTCTCACACTGCTAAAAAAGGCACTATCTGAAATTGGATAATTTATAAACAAAATAGGTTTAATTGACTCACACTTCTGCATGGCTGGGGAGGCCCCAGGAAACTTACAATCATGGCATAAGCTGAGTGGGAAGCAAGGCACATCTTACACATAGCAGGACAGAGAGAGAGAGAGTGCAGAGGAAACTGCCACTTTTAAAACCATCAGATCTCATGAGAACTCCCTCACTGTCATGAGAACAGCATGGGGAAACTGCCCCCGTGGGCCAATGACTCCCACCAGGTCCCTCCCTCAACACGTGGGGATTACAATTTGAGATGGAATTTAAGTGGGGATACAGAGACAAACCATATCACTGGGCCCCTGGCCCTTCAAAATCTCATGTCCTTCTCACATTGCAAAACTAATTGTGCCTTCCCAATGGTCCACCAAAGTCTTAAGTGTTTCCAGCATTTATTCAAAAGTCCAAGACAAGGCAAGTCATTCAAAAGTCATCTGAGACAAGGCAAGTCACTTTTGCCTATGAGCCTGTAAAATCAAAAGCAAGCTACTTACTTCCAAGATACAATAGGGGTACAGGGATTGGGTAAATTTTCCCATTCCAAGTGGAAAAAAATTGGCCAAAACAAAGGGGCCAGAGGCCCCATGCAAGTCTGAAACCTGGCTAGGCAGTCATTCTTAAAGCTCCAAAATCTTCTTTTACACCATGTCTCACATTCAGAGCATGCTGATGCAACAGGTGGGCTTCCACGGCCTTGGGCAGCTCTGCTACTGTGACTCTTCAGGGTGCAGCTCTGCAGCTGCTTTCACAGGCTGGAATTGAGTGCCTACAGCTTTTCCAGGTGCACAGTGGAAGCTGATGATGGATCTATCCTTCTGAGGTCTGGACGATGATAGCCCTCCTCTCACAGCTCCACTAGGCAGTGCCCCAGTGTGCAGGGACTCTGTGTGCAGGCTCCAAACCCACATTTCCCCTTTGTATTGCCCCAGTAGTTTCTCCATGAGGGATACACCCTTGCAGCAGACTTCTGCCTGGACATCCAGTCATTTCTGTATATCCTCTGAAGTTTAGGCAGAGGCTGCCAAAGCTCAACTCTTGCCTTCTGTGCTCCCACAGGCCCAACACCACATGGAAGACCCCAAGGCTTGCATTGTCTGAAGCAACTGCCTGAGCTATACCTTGGCCCCTTTTAGCCACATGCAGGACACCATGCCCTGAAGCTGCACAGAGCGACAGGGCCCTGGGCCTGGATCATGAAAGCATTTTTCCCTCTTAGGCCTCTGGGCCTGTAATAGGAAGGGCTGCCATGAAGATCCCTGACATGCACTGGAGACATTTTCCCCATTGTCTTGGCTATTAACATGTGGCTCCTTGTTACATATGTAAATTTGTACAGTCAGTTTGAATTTCTCCCCAGAAAATGGGTTTTTGTTTTCTACCTCAGCCTGGACATCATTGTTCATATCACTATCAGCATTTTGGCCAAGACCATTCAACAAGTCTCTAGGAAGTTCCAAACTTTCTGACATCTTTCTATCATCTTCTGAGCCCTCCAGAGTGTTCTAACCTCTGCCTGTTACCCAGTTCCAAAGTTGCTTCCATATTTTCAGGATATCTTTATAGCAGTACCCCACTCTGCCTGCACCAGTAATCTATATTAGTCCATTATCATGCTGCTATAAAGATACTACCTGATACTGAGTAATTTATAATTAAAAGAGGTTTAATTGACTCACAGTTTTGCATTGCTGAGGAAGCCTCTGGAAAGTTACAATCATGGTTGAAGGCAAAGGGGAAGCAAGGCATATCTTACATGCAGCAGGAAAGAAAGAAAGTTCAAGTGAACTTTCTTGAACTTTTAAGAAAAAGTTAATGTGTCACTTTTAAAACCATGACATCTTGTGAGAACTTCCTAGCATGAGACTAGTACTGGGGAAACTGCTCCCATCTTCACTATCATGAGAACAGCATGGGAGAAACTGCTCCCATGATCCACTTGCTCCCACCATGTCTGTTCCTCAACACATGGGGATTACAATTCACGATTAGACTTGGGTGGGGACACAAAGCCAAATCATATCACTGCTCTTCCACACTCTTCATTGGATAAAATGGGTGATTTGACAAACAGTAAAGAAACATTGGGGCCACTGCTAGACTAGAACTCTCCATGAGAGAATCACAGTCTCCTACCACAAGTGACAGAGTCATCCATTTGAAATCCATCTAGAATAAAACATGCAATGAAGGTAGTTAAGTTTGAAGCACACAGACTCAATCATAAAAGAACTATCAGGAGTGCATTGAGGATAAGTGATGATTTCCATTGCTCTATATGCTAGTTTCTGGATGAAATGAAGCTGATTCTCTTCTTGAACATTAAATTGTCTTTCATATCACACCTGCCCTGTACCAACTGACTAAAAAATTCAGTGTGGAGACTTACAGATCACATACGAGAATTGCTGGTCTACATAATACAAAGAGGTGTCTATTAACCAGTAAACAATTATTTGTGATTTATGTGCAGCAAACTGGTAAGAGATGGAGGAAGGAAGACCATCTTCATGAGAAGTCACATAATTACAGTGAAGATGGAAACAATCAGACACAGATAGCACCAGTTATTCAGAAAATTGACCAAGGAACAAGAGTTTGGGAGATGGACTAGGGTGCTAAATAAAATGTATTTTAATCCTACCAGGAAAGTCAATCCAAGCACCAGCTGTACTACTACAGTGACATACTGTTACCCCATTGCACAAGGATGAGAGACCAACACTTTATAAAGAAATGCCACCTAAAATGCAGAAACACAGTACTTAAGACAATCCTAAAGTGGGGGTCAGACCATCAGAGAAGAGATATAAAGCCTAAACTCCTCATCCCATCTATGAAGAGAGGTGTGGCAGCCTCCTGAGAAAAAGCTTTGTTCTAGCTCATACTGTAGCCTCACCTTTTAAAAAACAATTTACTTAAACTAATTTTCCAAGAGAAGTTGAACAAGGAGTATTTGCTCTGTGAAGTTGCATGGAGAAACTTGACCTTGCCAGAGGAAAAGGCTGTCCCAGGAACACTTGGCACAAGAGAGAGGTAGTTTGTGCTGCTATGGAATCATAGCAGCTATTTTCTGCTTCTCTCTACATATCTTTGCTCTCACTAAAGCAGGGAGAGGCCATGAGAAATTATATGACCCAGCAACCTAATTATACCACATTTCATTGAAAACGTGATGGTGGTTCCACAGTTACAGTTGAGCATCAACCCTGAGATTGAATTCTGTTTCGGTATCATCTTGGGCAAGGGCTTTATATTTAGGATCACAGATTCCTCATGGGTACAATAACTAAAAGAATTCCTACCTCACAAAATTATGAAGATTCCCAAGAACACTGGAAATCATCTAGTCTGGTTAGGACACATCAAATCATCTACCTCTCTGGTGATAGAGCTAAGACTGGCTTCCTGGGTACCTTTATTAACCAGTGCTCACTGTGGCTATGCTCCTCAACCATGGGCCTCACACAGAGCATTGATGCACCATGTTGCCCAAAGGCATTTCACGTTTGTAGTTGGGAGTTGACACCACTTCCCTTTCCACAGATACCTCCAACAATATGTTCCTTTGCTTTCCTAGCCCACTTTTGTTGCTTCTTCCTCACTATATTCCTTCCCAAAGGAGAAGAATGTGCTAAGCACCAGCATGGTGTGCAGTGTGGGAGACACAGACAGACATGGGAACCTCCTAACTCTGCAGACCTCACAGCTCAATAAGGAAGACTGAAGGGTACTATCTGTGGTACCACCTGCTTAGCCTCCCACCACCAGTCCTGGAACTAGCATTCCCCTTTTATGGGGGACTGCTCCACACAAACACAGACTCCAGGTTTGTGGTTCCAGGAGAGATTTATGTCACTACATGTCCTGCCTTTCTCACCACACTTGACTGGCCCAGGGGTCAGATAGTTGTGATCTCTGCCCCAGTGCTTTGTGTCCCTGACTTAAGCTTCGGCACCTAAGGACCAGCCTGATTTTATTTTGGGAGATCGAGACAGAAGGAAAATCTTTTTTCTTGATCCTCAAGTGTCCCATGAGGGATTTTTCTTTTTTTCTTTTCCTTTTGGAGACTGAATCTCTCACTCCTGACATCCAGGCTAGAATGCAGTGGTGGGATCACGGCTCACTGCAGACTCAACTTCCTTGGCTCAGGCAATTGTCCCATCTCAGTTTCCTGAGTAGCTGGGACTACAAATGTGTGGCACCATGCCAATTTTTTTTTAATTTTTTTTTTTTTTTGTAAATACTGGGTTTTGCCATGTTGCCCAGGCTGGACTTGAACTTCTGGACTCCAGTAATCTGCCTGCCTAGGCCTGCCAAAGTTCTGAGATTACAGAGGTAATCTGCCACCCCTGGCCAATGAGAGATTTTAAATTTCACTCTTCAGAAGTAATAAAAGGAGAAGGATATATATATATATATATATGTATATATGTGTGTGTGTGTGTGTGTGTACACACACACATTTGGTGCATTAAGCAAAAGGAAGAAAGTGTAATGACCCTGAACTATGTAAACCTCTCCTTTTTCGAGAAAAAGTTTAGATAGTTCAGGGTCATTACACTTCCCACGGAGACGGTGTGTTCTAGATTGCACTCCAATGCCATAAGCCTACAGGGCTTATGCAGCTTATAACCTGCGGTTATCTAGCACTTCGTTTGACTAGCTAATTTGATTAGTCATGAGAGGCTGCTTCTGTAACAAATGTTCCAAATTTCTGGTAGCTTTTAAAGTGAATTTTAATTTTTTGTTTTTATCAAGGTCCAGTGCAGGTTGGTGTGACAGTGATGAGGGGACACTCTACATATGTTATCCAAAGTTCCAGGCTACTTCACAGCAGATATATATTTTAGGGTCTGTTCATCTTCTTCACTCTAGACATGGATTGAACAGGGTGTGTCCTATAAACTAGAACTTATTCAGGCAGACATCAGTTATTTTCATATTCCAGTAGCCAGAAATCAGTACATGACCTCATCAAATCACAAGTGTAGCTCGAAAAACATGGTTATTTTGTGGACCAAGATGAAAATAAATAAGCTTTGAAGATGTCAATATGTCATAGTGAGTTTCTCTAATTGGAAGATTTGAAAAGTACTAGCAAGTTCATTTTGCTACAGACCTAAGCTTGTTCTTCAGTGAGCCGAGTCCTGTGTCTACTAATTGGTTTTAAATTCAGCAGGGAAGACATGGGGATTAGTTACTGAGTACCCAAAAACCATGAACATAGAGGGCTTTTCAACGTAAATTTTAAAAACAGAGTCTTCAGTCTGGTGTTGAAGCTTTGATCCTCAAACAAATCTGAAATCACATTCCCGATAATGTGGAGGAATTTCTCCTGCAGAGAGAATTCAGCTTCAGAGTACAGCAGACATGGATGAACGTTTAAAGGAAGCTGACATCTACCTAGAAGATAGATCCACTAAAGTCTTTCAATGCCAGAGAAATGCTACACTTTGGGCATTTGGAATTGTTCCTACTCTACCTGGGAGCTCTATACCTTTATCTCCAAAGGATATGATCACTCCCTAATTAACACAGTCCACCTCCTGTTCATAGGAGAATCCTACTGGTAACCCAGACACAGCTGTGAATTAGATCCATGCTCATTACCTAGGTTAATCCAGTCCTTGATTTCAATCGCGAAAGGTCAAACGTTTTCCAAATATTTAAGGAAAGTGAGGAAGAGATCATGATGCACAAATAAAACTAATTCTGGAAGAGGAAAAAAAAGGATATAATACAGGAAACAGAAGAAAACGTGACCAGAAAATATTCTCAGAGTTTAAGAAAGACAAGAGGTTTATAAAATGAGAACAAGCCGTCATAGAGGGGAACAACCAGGAGAGAGGCGAAAGTCCTTGGACACTAGAAAAGTTACTGAAGAATTGACATCGCGCAGAAGTCAGGCAGTGCCCAATTCCCTGGGTTGCCACAGAACTCAGCCTGTGTCCCCCACCACCACCACCACTCTGAAGGTAGGCGCTGCTCCGCACCGCCCCCGCCCTCCCGAGGGCGCGCGCCCCTCACCTCCTAACGGTTCCCAGCGCCCACTTCCGCTCCCCTCGCAAACTCTGCGACTACCGCCACTGCCTGGTCTGGAGGAGCCCGCCCTCCGCCAACAGCCGCTCTCACCCATCATGGCGGTGCTCCGAGGCCTCCGCCGCCGGCGCCACTGCAGATACCGAGGCCGCTGCCCCCCCCGGAACCAGCGCCAACGCACCGCTTTACCCTGCCTGCTCCCCGCCCCGGCGCTGCCCGCCCTGGGCCCGCTGTCGCAAGTGCGACACAACTACCACCCCAGCAGCGAGGCCGCCATCAACAGCCATGTCAACCTGCAGCTCCACGTCTCCTACGTGTACCTGTCCATGGCCTTCTACTTCAACCGGGACGACGCTGCCCTGGAGCACTCTGACCGCTACTTCCTGCGCCAGTCACACGAGAAGAGGGAGCACGCTCAGGAGCTGATGAGGCTGCAGAACCTGCGCGGTGGCCGCATCTCCCTTCAAGACATCAGGAAGACGGAGAGCGCAGGCTGGGAGAGCAGGCTCGAGGCCATGGAGTACGCCTTCCACCTGGAGAAGAGCGTCAACAAGAGCCTCGTGGAGCTGCACCAGCTGGCCATGGAGAAGGGCGACCCCCAGCTGTGCAACTTCCTGAAGAGCCGCTTCCTCAACCAGCAGGCCAAGACCGTGAAAGAGGTGGGTGGCTACCTGAGCAACCTGCGCAAGATGTGGTCCCTGGAACCCGGCCTGGCAGAGTACCTGTTTGACAGGCTCACTCAGGGCAGGAGAGAGAGAGAGACCTGAGCCCAGACGGGCCCCACAATCAGAGGGTGCCTTCCCTGGATCTGGCCTCCAGGCGGGGCGTGCATGTTGCCGTTTAAGAACGTTTTCTTCAGTTTTTTTTCCTCTCAGTTTTACCGTTGTTGGTAATAAAGTTATCTGTTCTCAAAGCAATACAGGTGTCCAGTTGATGTGTGCCTGCAACACTCTCACCATTTAGGAATCAGGGCAAATCCCCATACAGGTTTAAAGTAGGTATCCAGCAGTCTCCACACCCAGCTCTGCCCCATCTGCATGCAGCTCAGGATCTGTGGGGGTGAAGGGGAAAGGTATTCTATGGGCCCCTGGAAAACATATTCGCCTTCCCCTTATAAACTCTGAGGGCATGTGGGATGGCATGGGGTGAGGTGGGGTGAGATGGGTGGGATGGGTGAGGTGTGCAGTCTTGGGCCATGCTATTTGTGGGTGCATTGCATGGTAAGGTGTAAAGCATGGTATGGAATTCATCATAGTTGTTGCCTCTGGAGAAGAAGGGAGGGGAATGACATTGGGCAGAGATTAAAATAATACAGTCTTTAACTTAACATGAAAAGTTTTCTTTTTAAAATATGCAAGTGCTGAGGATTCTTGCTTCTGGGCAGCAAGATGGTGGCTCTGGAGAACAGTATGGCAGAGTATCTCTTTGGCAAGTTCACTGTGAGTGACAGATAATGGGACTGAGCCTTAGGCTGGTTTCCCAACAGATAAGGGGCGATTTCCTGCATATTGCCCTTAAGATTCCTCCACTCATAGTTTTTCCTTCCATTGTACTATTTCTTCCATTAAAGCTGGTTTAAAAAAAAAAGCAGCTCAGAAGAAGGACTGAAAAACATAAGGTCAAACCTGAAGGCCAAATTTGTGATATTGTATATAAAGTAGAATAAATGTCCCCAAATGTCAAGGCAGTGACTGTCTGCTTTGAAGAATGTAAAAGGGTGGGGGAATAGTTGAAGGTGTAGACCAGGTAGAGTCATTGTACCTGGTCTAGGTGGGAGACTAGTGCAGCTTGAGCTGTGATGGTGGCTGCAGAAGTGAAGAGAGGAATACAGGTTCCAGATGGATTTGTGAAAAGGAAAGACAAACTTTGCTCATGGGCACGAGGTGAGGAATGGAAGAGGGAGAATATATGTAGGCTCTGAAGTTTGGATTTGAGCACCTGGGGTGATGACGGTGTTATCATCACCCTGAGGATGTTTGCAGGGGTCCCCTGGGGTAGAGAAGCGGGAAATGCATGCCATGTAAAATCAGATTTTTATTAGACATCCAAGTGGAAATGTGAATCAAGAAGCTGGAAAAATGTCACGTTTGGAAGTATACATATGGGGGACTTTTATAGATAGTATTGAAGTCATGTGATTGGATGAGCTCAGAAAGGCATATAAGGTAGAGTATGACATATCCAGTCCCAAGCGCAGGACAGCTAACATTTAGAGGCTGGTTGAGGAGTTTGAACACCCACAGAATTGCTGGTTCCACCTTGACCTTTGTCTGCCCCAAGTTTATTTCCTTATTCCCAATGTCTGCCCCAAGCTCATTTCAAAATCATCCTTTTCCTGAGAAGCTCAATGTGGCCTCTGGTTTCTCCTTTCAAGATATAGAGAAGAGCTTGCCTTTTACTTTTTCTTCATGGCTATGGATAGAAAGATATTATTTCCTAGTAAGAAGAAGATTCCATACGGAACTGATACACCTGTTTCTCTATTTTTTTTTCCTCTTTGCCCTTTAAAAACTCTTCTCCTCTCTCAGTCCACTCTCTATTTGACCAAAGGAATTCCTCAACCATGTAAACCCTAACGTTGTCCATGTCTGTGGAAAAATACTTAAAATATCTACCTTCCATGCCACACAAAAGAAAATTACAAAGAAATAAGAAACAAAAAGAAATCTTGTTTCCTTTTTGGGTTCAAAGGTTAAAGTAAAAAATTTACAGACTATACATTTTGTTCAAAGACACATGGGTGGCTCACATCATTTTTTTTGAGCATTGTATTAACAGCAGATAGTTTTGAGCATTGTATTCATCCATTTTTTTCATGCAGCCGATAAAGACATATCCAAGAGTGGGCAATTTATGAAAGAAAGACATTTATTGGACTTACAGTTCCTCATGGCTGGGGAGGCCTCACAATCATGGTGGAAGGTGACAAGCACGTCTCACATGGCAGCAGACAAGAGAAGAGAATGAGAGCCAAGCGAAATGGGTTTCCCTTATAAGACCATCAGATCTTGTGAGACTTATTCACTACCAGTAGAATAGTATAGGGGAATCTGCCCCCACGATTCAATTATCTCCCACTGGGTCCCTCCCACAAAATGTGGGAATTACAGAGTACAATTCAAGATGAGATTTGGGTGGGGACAAAGTCAAACCATCTAAGCATTTATTAAGATATGAACAAGTTTAGCTGTGCAGTAATTATCTTCCACGTTTCCACATTACTGTACTTTAACACTGTTCTTTAAAATTAAGATTCTGACACTTTTAGTTCAGTTTCCAGAAAATGCTGTTGTCTGTTTATTTTAAATGTTATCAATTTACTTTCAGTGCTATTGTATCTTAGTCAAACTTGGTCTTCTCATTGTATCTCTTTCTCTGCCTGGTATAAGGACTTCTGAATGCTCTGACTTCGTCTCATCTATTACCTATTGAAATATATGTCCCTTGACTGTTCTCCTGTGGATATGAGAAAGAATAGAGCAAGCATCGATTTTGAGTGTTTCAAATTTTAAGTTGACTGAAGGGATTTCTTAATTTCCTGTTTGGGAGAGAACACTTGGTGTAGTGTTTCCTTGATCTCAGACTGCCTGGATTCAAATCCCATACTAGCCACTCATTTTGGGTAAACTTGGGCAAGTTGTTTAACTTTTCTGTGCCTCAGTTTCTCCTTATGTAGTATAGGTATAATAAAGGCATTAACCCCATTGCGTTGCTGAGATTAAATGAATCAATGTATGTAAATCACTTGGAGTGTATCACTGGCATACTGTATGTTCATGATTTACCACCATCATCAAGATGATTATCCTCTACTCTTTCTCAACTTTTATTGAGGTTCAAGAATACGAGCACAGGTGTTTTTGTTTAGGAAAACTACTGTCACAGGGGTTTGTTGTGTAGATTATTTCATCACCCAGGTACTAAGCCTTGTACCCAATGGTCATTTTTTTTTCTCCATTCTTTCCTTCCAACCTCCACCCTCAGGTAGGCCCCCGTGTTTGTTGCTCCCTGCTTCGTATCCATGTTTTCTTGTTATTAACTCTCAGTTATCAGTGAGAACAGGTGGCTTTTGATTTTCTGTCCCTGAATTTTTTTGATAAAGATTATAGGCTGGAAGCCATCATCCTCTGCCCTTATGTTTCTTTGTAGTCTCTATGCTTTTGGAAAATACTTCACTTTTACACTTTGCCACTGGGGCACTCTCTTGCATGTCTATTAACCAAGTCATCTGCATAGCGAGAAGGGAAAACCCTAGAAGCTGGTTTGGTTGCCAGGTGTCTCCAGGACTCAGGAGGGTACAAGGCTGTTTTCACTCCTCACCACCAACCTCCCCACCCTCCTGAGGCCCAAAGGAGGAGGAAGGTGGTGCTGTGACAACTTTCCGTGCTATTTCACACCTTGCCCCCACATTGTATCTAAACCAGCCTTCCCTTGAATTCACTTTTAGAAGACTGTGCTTGTTCTTCCCAAACCCAGGTTCCCTGAGTCTCCTATTTTCATCCTGAACTTCCTCCCACTCTTCTGAGATGGACAAGAGCAGCAGGATGAAGTGCTCACCCTGATCCCCACCTTAATCTGGATGTTTGGAGCTGAAAAGGAGGGGAATGGCTGGGTGGGCCTTAGGGGGAGAATAAGAAAAAGGGAACGCATTAGGGCTCCTGATAACATAACTAAAATCGATACATCATCGTGACCTTTGACGTAGCGTTTCTCAAGCCTTGCTGCACATTTGAATCACATGCAGAGGTTTTGAAAATCGAAATGTTCAGGTGGCATCCCAGACCAAATGCATAAGCCTCTGGGGCAGGACCTGGACATGCCAGGCATTGAAAACCAGCACTAGCATCTGGCTGCTCAAAGTGTGGTCTGTGGGCCAGCAGCATCAATCTAAACTGAGAACTTCCTAGCAATGCAAAATTTCAAACAACACCCCAGACCTACGGAATGACCATCTACATTTTAACAAGACTCTGGGTAATCAATATGAACACTGGAATTTGAGAAGCATTCTTTTAGCACCCTGTGTGGCAAATATGGCTGCACCTTGAAATCACCCAGAGAATCTGAAAATACTACTAATACCTGGACTTAATCTATGTGCTCAGTTATACCCTCATGTAAGTACTAGACCAAATACAATAAAAACTTACTGTCACTTCAGCAATTATTGACTCAACAATCATTGATGTCTCATACACACACACTAGCTTTTATCTATTCTGCTGTTTATCACAAACTTGTTTGTTTTATAGCATGGGCTGGCAAACTATAGCCAGCAGTCCAAATCTGGCCCCCACTTTTTTTATAAATAAAGTTTTATCAGAACACAGCCACCCCATTCAATTACCTATTGTTTATGGCTACTTTTTCACTACAGCAGGAGAGTTTGTAGTTGAGACAGAAGTCTTTTGCAGTAGCTGCAAAGCCTAAAACATTTACTATCTCATTCTATGTAGAAAGTTTTTCCAATCCATGTTTTATAGCAACTTGCCACAACCCTGAATTCACCTCAAGCTACCAAATATTTTAAAGTTTTCAGCTCTCTTTATGCATCTATTTGTCTTTTTATTTTTCCTTTTACTTTTTTCTCACTCTCCATTAGTATTCTAGAATGATTTGGATATTTGTGATCTTTTAGCCACATTGAGAACACTCACACTTACTAGAATTTCAATTCTTACCTTCCAGACTAACAGCTTTGTATATTTCAGAAAGTCGAACCTCTCGTCTTTGTGTCTTCAGTTTAGCAGGTGTCTCGGTGTACCTTTTTAAATTGAGGGCCATCAGTCATCCTGCTTCTGGAAGCATCAGAGTGGAAACATGCCTGACTAGCCTTTTTGACAGATTCTTCATAATCACATATTCATCAGAGAGGCTGTTTAAAGTGTGCTCATTTTTAAGGTATGACAGTCTATTC